CAAACATCTGTGAAAGAATGGGTTGCTCTCAGGAGCTCAGTGAATTCAAACACTGTAATAGGTTGCCACCTGTGCAATAAGTCCATTTGTGAAATTTCCTTGCTACTAAATATTCCACGTCAACTGATAGTGGTATTATAACAAAGTGTAAGCAACTGGGAATAACAGCAACTCAGCCACAAAGTGGTAGGCCATGTAAAATGACAGAGCAGGGTCAGCGCATGCAGACTCAGTAGCTAAAGACCTCCAAACATCGTGTGGTCTTCAGATTAGCACAACAACAGTGCGTAGAGAGCTTCATTGAATGGGTTTCCATGGCTGAGTAGCTGCTTCCAAGCCTTACATCACCAAGTGCAATGCAAAGCTTCGGATGCAGTGGTGTAAAGCACGTCACTACTGGACTCTAGAGTTACAATACCACTATCAGTTGACCATGGAATATTTAGTAGCAAGTAAAATTCAAGGATGGACTTATTGCACAGGTGGCAACCTATCACGGTACCACGCTTAAATTCACTGAGCTCCTGAGAGTGACCCATTCTTTCAAAAACATTTGTAGAAACAGTCTGCATGCCAAGGTGCTTACACCTGTGGCCATGGAGGTGATTTGAACACCCGAATCCAATGATTTGGAGGGGTGTCCCAATACTTTTGGCAATATAGTGTATATACATTAAAAGTATATATATATATATATATATATATATATATATATATATATATATATAGAGTGTATATGCCCTGAAAAAGTATTCATGGCTCTTGAAATTTTCCACATTTTGTCATGTTACAACCAAAAGCATAAACGTATTTTATTGAGATTTTATGTGATAGACCAACACATAAGTGGAAGTCTAATGGAAGGAAAATGATAATTGTTTTTCAAAATTTTTTACAAATAAATATCTGAAAAATGTGGCATGCATTTGTATTCAGCCCCCCTGAGTCAATACTTTGTAGAACCACCTTTCAGTGCAATTACAGCTGCAAGTCTTTTTGGGTATGTCTCTACCAGCTTTGCACATCTAGAGTGAAATTTTTGACTGTTCTTCTTTGCAAAATAGCTCAAACTCTGTCAGATTGGCACTGTATATACCCATTATATAATCCCAATAGAGAGCTCAAATTTCCACCAATTAATGTTGAAACGCACAAAATTTGACCCTTGGGATGCTTTGCAAGAACCACCAAAATTTACATCTAAAAAAACAAAATGTAATCTAAAAATTAACTCAGCTGGAGTAAAATTATCAGTGAAACAGTCACTGCATCCTATCAGATATGGTCACTGTTCATCAACGACAGCAACCGCGGCTGAATTAAACCACTGGAGAATTCGCCATCCACGTTGTTGGGCTGAATGGCACAAATTCAGGCTGCTTTGCAGGCACACTCACCCTCACTTTTGTAAATGTAACCCTTGTTGACATACTTCTGTTGTGCATAAATATCTGATCCAAAGGCCAAACTTCCTAAGCCAGGAGCTAGCAGCACCAATGTTACAGTGCGCCAATCTCCTTCAGGAACAGTTTCATTTTCTTTTCTCTTCAATTGACAGCAGTCAGGAACTAGCAGTATTTAAGAAAAGATAATCCATACTCTAATCTTTGTGACTTTTACATACAAAATACCATAAAAATCTATACTATAGTACGCATATGCTAAATCTTTAGTGAATTAGGGACATTCATTTGTTAATAAATAAAGGATATAATGAAAGTAATGAAAATACCTGGCATATTATTTTTTAGTGGATTGACCCTAAAAAGTGTTGTTTTTCTTTTTACTTCTGGAATTGTTATAGACCCGTTATTTGTCAGCTAGCAACAGTACAACTCACTTTTAAAAGGCTGATTCCTTGTTCACTTGTTGGGCCAACAAAGTGTTCATCATCATCAAAATGAATGTCTCCCAGGTACCAGGCATGGGCAAACTCCTGCCCGACTCCATCGAATGCCTGAGAACAGCCAAGGTGCTGCCCTGTGAAGAGCCAGATCATCATTATATACATATAGGAAAAAAAAATGGGAAAACGTGCGTTTGGTGCTCTCAAATTTATTTCACTAAAATACGCTAGGATAAAATTCTTGCTGCTTTTAAACACTAAAGCTGAACTTCAGGCAAACAACCTATACACCTCAAATGCAAAGCAGCATATGTAAGCTGTTTTAGCTGCCAAATGATCTGTTTTTCTGTCCATACAGTCCAAAGATTTACACAGCACAGCCCAATTAGACAACATAGCCACCCTGGCAAACTGAATTTTTTCTCCTGCCACTAAGAGAAAAAGCTAGACCACCTGCCTGCCCTCAGCCTGTGTCTGGACAATAATCAAGCAGCAGCAGATCGATGGCCCCCTCCTTTTGCTCACATTTCTTTCTTCTGTCAGCTCCTAATTGGCCTCTAGTGCTGCCACTTCCTTCCCCAGCCTTTAGCTCAGGGTATTATAAAAGGCTGAAACCAGAACAGGTTCAGGTATTTAGACTTGCTGCATCTAAAAGTATAGTGCTATCAATGATGCTTTCATGAACAGGTAACTCAAATCATCAGTGTTTTGTTATTTCTGTATGGAGCTCAGCTTTAAATGGGTTTAATAAGTCAATTGTGCAATTCAATTGTATTTTTTAGCTTTATATCCATCCAGGCTGCTATGTGATAAATTCCACCTACTACAGTTCAGCAAACATCCCAACAGGCCCAGATTCTGCGGGAGTGTCCCAGAATTTTACCAAAAGTTGGCTCCAAGAATTACCTTTCACATCATTTCCCCATGACTACATTACTCTAAACAGCTCCACCCACACTTTAATTCACAACAAGTATAGCAAGCCTGCTTTGAATCATGAAAAGGGTGTCCTGGGGACAGATTAGATTAGAGTGGTGCGCAGGATGTGGAGGACAGTGCTCTGGAGTGTTGGGTGAGCCAGACAGGAGTACAGCAGTCAGGGACTGGAGTCCCTAATCCATTCATCTAGTAGCAAACCATAAGCTACTTCTTCTGCTTCTGTACCTACCTAGACCAGGACTTCAGCATCGAGTTCAGCGAGGGGCCCAACAAGTGAGACATAGAACCTCCTTCTCCATACTTGTCCTTTCTTCTTCTTTTTCCAAACCTGTATCCTGTTCTTCCTCCACACCCCTACCCTCTTCCACCTCTTCCACACCCATACACTCTTCTTTCTTCCTCCTCTACACCAGCACCCTCTTCTTTCTTCCTCCACCACTCCAGCACCCTCTTCTTCCTCCATAACTGTACCTTCTTCCTCTTCCACCACACTTGTACCCTTCTCTTTCTTTCGCCACCACACCTGTACCCTCTTCTTTTATCTCACCTCTACCCTTTTCTTCCTTCACACCTGTTCCCTCTTCCTTCACCTCAGTATCCCTACTTTCTTCTTTCTTCCTCTGCTATACCTGTACCTTCTTCATCCTTCACACCTGTACCCTCTTATTTTCCTCCACACTTGTAGCTTCTTCTTCCTCCTTCACACCTGTAGCTTCTTCTTCCTCCTCCACACCTGTACCCGTTTCATCCTTCACACCTGTACCCTCTTCTTTGTCCACTTCTGTACCCTCTTCTTACCCCCTGCACACCTGTACCTGCTTCTTTCCTCTCACCTCTACCCTCTTCTTGCTCCTGCACACTGTATCTTTTCCCCTTTCACTTGTACCCCCTTCTTCCTCCTCCATACTTGTACCTTCTTCCTTCCTCTGACCTGTACCCTCTTCTTTTTCATTCCTCACACCTGTCCACTCTGATTGTTCCACCACATCTGGCTCTGCTTCTTCCTTAACACTTGTCCCCTCTTCTACCTCATCCACACCTGTACCATCTACTTTACTCTCACCTGTACTTTCTTCTTTCTCTTCCACATCTGTACCTTCTTTCTCCTCCTCTGTGTCTGATCCATTTCCTCCAGATCACCTGTACCCTCTTCTTCCTCTTCCACACCTGTACCCTCCTCCTCCTTCCTCTTATCTATAGTTTTTTTTCTTTCTTCTCACCTATACCCTCTTCTTTTTCATTCCTCATACCTGTGTCCTTATATTCTTCCACACATCTATCCCCTGTACTTGTAAACCTATCCACACCACCTATCCCTTTTTTTTCACTACACCATTGACACATCCCCCTTAAAAATTGTATTTTTGCTAGAGTACATCAAACCACATCATCTGCAGGTTTAAGGCATTTTACAAAGTATGTTATTTAGGAAGGAATTGTGTTTTTAAATGTTGGCCTTGAAGATTTATTAAAAGATCCACTCTCCACTGAAGGGTATTTTTATAACATTTTTTTTCATCAGTACATATCCCAAATGGCAATGTCAGGGCTACCCTTCTTTTTTTCCTTTACCAAAATATTGCAATTTGACATTGAAAAGGGCCAGAAAAAAATAACTAGATTTATCTATCACAGATTTCAATAGGGTTTTCGGGCACTATGTTTGGGGTTTGTGGATTTTTCAAGTGTTCTGTGAGTATCCAGCAAACCTCAGTTTGCTCATGACTAGTCACTATGACCAGCACAGGGTTTCATTCAAAGAAATGAGGCAAGTGGAAAGTGGTATTGTATTTTCTCTGTTCAATTACATTATCTAGACCCAAGGACCAAAATGAAATATACTGCAGCTTACCATGTGTCAATGTGCTACATTCATTTAAAATTTGTAGGCTTTTTTAACTTTAAAGCGGAGTTCCACCTGAAAGAAAAACAAAAATTCAGCAGCTACAAAAACTGTAGCTGCTAACTTTTAAAATACAGCCACTTACCTGTCCCTGGGTCCAGCAGTGTCCTCACCACCGCTGGTTTCACCGGCCGTCTTCTCTCCCTGGCGCTGGCATCTTCAATATGGGCACCTGGCTGTGACAGCTTGGGCCCATGTGTGAGAAGTGCTGCACTTTGTGAATGGCCCTGTAGTCTTCTGGGACCTGTCAAGTGTCCCAGAAGACAACGGGGGGGGGGGGGGGGACAGCTTCCGCTTCTGATCGCGCAGAAGTGGGAGCAGATACCTGTCAAATTCGGGTACCCACTCCCCAAAGGTGCCAATCCTTAATGGGGAGCAGGGGACAAAGTCTTAAAGCGGAACTTCCCCTTTTGGGTGGAGCTCCGCTTTAAAGTGATTTTATGGCTCCCGCTGCTGCATGAGGAGATGAGAGCCCCAGGAGAGCAGTAGCTCTCATGCACATTGCTGAATTGAGATGGGGCTTAGGTAAGTATAAGGGGGGCTGAGGGGGAAGCTGTAGTCAAAAGGTTTTTTACCTTAAAGCGGAGCTCCACCAAAAAGGGGAAGTTCCAATTAAGGACTGCTCCCCCACTCCCGATTAAGGATTGGCACCTTTAGGGGGCGGTGGGGGTAGTGGGTACCCGAATTTGACAGGTACCCACTCCCACTTCTGGTCTGAACGCCTAGGCGATCGGAATCGGAAGGTGTCCTCCCTCCCTGTAGTCTTTTGGGACACGTGACAGGTCCCAGAAGATTACAGGACCATTCATGAAGCGCAGTGCTACTCGCGCATGCGCAGTGGGTATCCGGCTGTGAAGCCGCAAGCTGTCACAGCCGAGTGCCCACACGGAAGATGCCGACACCTGGATCACAGGACGGCCGGTAAAACGGGCTGCGGGGGACACACCGCGGGACCGAGGGACAGGTAAGTGTGTTTTTTAAAAGTCAGCAGCTACAGTTTTTGTAGCTGCTGACTTTTATTTTTTGACAGGGTGAGTGGAACTCCGCTTTAATACATAGAATACATTAAGCTAAAAAAAAAACCTTCTGCATTTAGAACCACTTAAATTTTTATGTGGCAATCCTGTCAGATGAAAATTAAGGTTTAAAAAGCATAAAACATTTACTTGATCTCTGAGGGAGCAGCACTGTAACCCTGGAACGGGACTACCATAGGACTCCAGATTTATTAAGAGATCAACAGATTTAATTTTTTTTTTTCTCACAAACAAGTATAAAGAATAGTATATTTAACAGACCAAAGAGAGCAGATAGGAGAGGTTAATTGTTAGTTCTCTTCATATCTTGTTCTAGTGACAACTGTCTAAAATGGGATTTCCTATCACTTCATGTTCAGACAACAGTGGTTATCAGGACAAATATAGACAATGATTCTCCTCACAGGAAATACTTTCAGCAAAAACTGGATACAAATACAGCAATAACTGTTGCTATCCAGCATGGAAAGGTTTTTGGCTATAGATGCACCAATATTAGCAATTTGTGGCAGACAACCCAGCCTGTGAAATATTTTGCATGTTTGTAAACTCTCACCAACAATAGTCAGATACTTCTGTTTTTTTCAAACCTGCACTAAATCAGTGGCATCTGGCATACCATTGGTTGTTCTGCTGTATGCACTTTCATTCATTATTAAGGTTTTTCTGTATAGGTCTACTGTGTCCACCAAAAAAAAACCCATTTACCTTCTCCTTGTCCCAATGTTTCCATTGGGGATTTTAAAACTGTAATATAAAAAAAAAAAAAAAAAGAGAGCAAACTAAAACACTGGAATTGTATGAGTAGTGTTTTGGTTTAGGTTTACAGGTTTGTGTTAGGATTGGGGTTAGTTTTAGAGGTTATTTAGGAGTCAAGATTAAGACACTTTCCCAGAATTATCCCATTTCAGGAACTGTCGTGTTTTAACTAATCAAAAAATAAAGATAAACTTGCCTGTTCCAAATCCAATTCGAATGTCTATATCATCTCCAGTGAGATCCTCCTCAAATTGCAGTGGAATGACCTCGCTCCACATACGGAAAGCAGTACGAAGTATTCTCCTCTGCTGTTCGATGGTTAATTGCATGCTGTATCCCTCTCCCATGAGCTTCCACTTCAATGATCTCTTGGAAATACTCATGGCATTTGCATTCTCCAGAGCATTTCTCTCATCCCGTTTTTTTCTGTAGTGAGCAACCAATGTGGACAGAACACTTCTCCTTCTACGTTGATTTCTATCTGGTTGTGTGGAATCATGGTGTGTTTCATTTGTGGCCAAAAGGCTCAAAGTTGCGTTTTTGCGTCTTGAAGGTGCTTTGCGGTCAGGAACACCACAACGGGGTTTATTCATGGCCAGTTTGGTGGATGTGTCTAAGATGCCCGTGACATTCAGCCATTGGCTTCTTGAAACTTTTTCAAAGAATCCGAAAAAGATGCGCTTAACTCAGTCTTGTTAGGAGAAGGGAAAAAAGAGCGCTCTGATGATTCGCCTTCTGATAACAGCTGAGAAACATCTTGTGGAGCTTGGTCAAGTTCATGGGGAATCTCCAAATGCCTGCTCCTCCCAGTTCACAGGATTCACCCAACCATATTTCACCAGATATTGCTACAGAACAGAGAAATTAAAACAAGAAACTCAGAGCCAAGTGACACACATATTATGTATGTAACCTAATTGCAGCCCTTGACACTACCAAATAATAATCAGTAAATGTATTGGTTCAGAAAGCTGTCAGAGACTGCAGACATGGGCATGCTACAGGGGATGGGCATGCTATAGAGACTGCAAACATGCTATAGGAATTGTTGGAGGCTGGAGATATGTTATAGGAAAGATCCGAGAAAAAAAAAAGATGAGACATTACTAAAATGTAAGATAGTGTGAAAGAACTACTAGACTAGTCAGTCTAAAGAATACTGAAGAATATTTGTATGCAGACTGCCAAAAGATAAAGGTAATGGATAGGTAAAGCACACATATGATGCTGAGCCTCCAGAAGATGCTTCCAGAAGAAGAAGTGAGGCCAAAAGATGCTGGATGTCCTTCATTCAGGACATGAGGCAGGCTCATCTAACTTCCTGCAGCTTCAATGCACACTGTGAAAGGCTCAGAGCACTCAAAGCCAGGTCTATAAGGACATGGTTTGACATGTTTGGTGTGGAGAAACTCAAGTGTCCTGCACAGAGCCCTTATCTCAACCCTACTGAACACCTTTGGGATGAACTGAAATGTCAATTTTGAGCCAGTCTTCCAGGGGCGGATTGACCATTTGAGCACTCGGGCACTGCCCGAGGGCCCGGGCTCAGTAGGGGGCCCCATGAGATGCCCCTGGTACCTTTTCATTTGCTTTTTCATAGGCTCTTTTTGGGTTTGGGTGAGGACACAGGGGCCCCATGATCCCCTATTGCCCGAGGGCCCCATGAGTTGTCAATCCGCCCCTGCAGTCTTTTCATCCAACATCAGTACCTGACTTCAAAAATGCTCGTTTGGCTGAATAAGCACAACTTTATATAGACATGCTTCAAAATCCTGTGAAAAGTCTTCCTAGAAGACTATAGTGTCTATATCTAATGCACATTTGGGTCAAACATTGAAATTTCAGAGACTAAAATTTACCCTAAAGAGCATCTCTTAAAGGCCAAGTTCACCTTTAAGAAAAAAAATAATAATAACACGCATTTTTTTCCCAAGTGAAAAAATGTGGATTTATTATTTCTTTGCACAGGAGCCTGCAAAGTATTGCACCTGTGATCAGTTGACTGCATTTGTAATGTCAGTCTCCTGCAGACACTTCCTATAGCTCTCTACCCATACCTATGTATGGGTTTTCAGTCACTGAGCTGCAGGAAATGTCAATGGACTAGGAGTGCACTGATCAGCAGACGGGACTTGTAGTTTATTAATTCACAGATCTTTGTGAACGATGACGTGGCTGTGCGGGTGGAGCCCTCATTATAAAGGGGATCTCCAGATACCACCAGGAGTACACCCTATGTACTCTTGGGGCACTTGGAAGTGGAGAAGAGGCCCTTGCCCCTCAAACCTGAGATAAGGGTACTTTGCAAGGTGGGGAAGGACTTGCCCCCCCTTGCAAAGTACCTTTCCAATGTTGAAAAGCATGTGGTCTGACATGGAATAGGAAGGGGGGCTGCATGCTCACTGCCCTCCCTTTCATAGCCACCCAAAGTGCATGCTTGGATGTCATGAACAGCAACCCTACCTATCTATGAGTCCTTCCCTGTGTAAGTATTTGCTACTCTGTTTATTAATTCATATAACCCTTTGATACACCCTTTTAGAAGTCTGTTTAACCTGGCTGCAATGTATTATAAAAAAATTTAAACTCATATCTTTTATTTGTTGCCTGGGTTTGCTTTTTGATATATTTCCTCTGAAAACCTAATTTTAGTTAAACATTATTATTCTCTCCAGATGGAACATGGTGAAATGTTTCCTGGATGAGCATGTACATGTTTTGACTGCTGAGCTGAATGATGAGTGTGCAAATGAGAGATATTCTATCTCATATCTGTTAGTAATTCACATCCAAAAAAAAAGAAAAAAATAAGCAGTACTCCCACTCTTCTGCTTGGTGCAGGTTTGACAGAAGAATGTTTATGTTGCCTTGTTGCTCATGTTAAACTGAGATATTATCACGTGTTTTCTTATTTACTGGCACATTTCCATTCTATCATCCTGAAGCAGCCTTTCTCAACCAGGGTTCCATGGAACCCTAGGGTTCCTTCAGAAGTTGCTAGGGGTTCCTTGAGCAATGATCAATTTATGCCTCTCAGATAACTTCACACAGACACCAATTATTTTTTTAGCTATTTGTAAGAGGTAGATTCTTCCTATTGACCACATTAATGGACAGTGAATTACAGATATGATAATTGTTAGCATGGATTCCTTGAGACTGGAAAGTTATTTCAAGGGTTCCTCCATGTTCAATAGGTTGAGAGAGGCTGTCCTGGAGGTTTCATTTCTCACACCGGCTTTCAGGGGGCTTAAAGTGTTTCTAAACCCACAACAGTAAAATCAGTCTGTATATGCAGTAAAACATGCTTGTTATACTCACTGTGGAACCTAAGGGGTTAATCCTCCACATTGTGTAAAAAAGCTATTCAATCCTGTCTTAACTTTTCCTCCCCTTCTACTGTCCTCAATCCCACAGCTGATAGTACAGAGCTCTAGGAGTCACTCTGCACATGCTCAGTTTAGTGTGTATTGCTAGAGAGATTTATTTTTTCATTGGGAGGGTGCATGTGAGCAGCACAGGGCCAAGCAGCACTGTCCAGACAGAGGGTCACGGATTATGCAGCTTCATAGGACAGTTAGAGCAGAATGAAAAATCCTACAAGCTTTAACCAGTGCTCAGCTGGAGACTGATAGAAGTCACAAAACTGCTATATACTGCTGATAGAAAAGGTATTTGGCAGTTTATATTTACTAAAATATTGGCATTTCCATGTTCTGTGTACTGTGGAAGACCAGATATAGTGAATGATGGGTCCTGGATTTAGTAACACTTTAAAGAGGAACGTCACTCCTGTGTTTTGCGTACTCAGTTCACATGCTGACCAACAAATACACTGTAGTTCTGCTACAAGGCTTGGGCCTTGAGCAAAAATAATTACCTTTGCCTTGGCTTACATGAGAGTACTGAGGAAATGCTTCTTGCCTGCACAAAACTGGTGACATAATCTCAACCTAGGCTAGGCAACGTCACTTCAAATGATCTCAAGGTCTAATCTAATGATAAAAGGTGGACCTTTTTGAAAAATAATAAAGTTACTGTATATTGTGACATGTCCAAAAGCTGTTCATGACAAGACTTGTAAAATTATAGAAAGGTTCACTTCAATCATAGTGGCTTATATTGACAGACAAGCCTTAAATTGGAACTATATT